CTTTCAAATAAACCCCCATGAGCAAAAAGTAATTTTCACCAATATAGCCTTGGAAATCCCAATGAACTGTTATGCTAGAATAGCTCCAAAATCTTTTATTTTGTTAAACAATGTCATGATCAATGCAGGAGTTATTGACTTTGACTACCGTGGAAATATTGGAATTGTTATGTATAATTATAGATCAGAAATTATCATTTTCGAAAAAGGATTGGCCATTGCCCAAATAATTTTCGAACTAATAATGCATCCTAGTTTTATTGAAAAAACTGATTCATTAAACGCTATCGACAGAAACAAGAAAGGATTCGGGGAATATAGCAAAATTGCTTTTTCCCAAAATAAAGATTTCGAGGATTCTGAAAAAGAAAATGATGAGAAAAGCGACATTTCTGAAAAAGCAAATGATAATGATGAAATTACTTTATCTCATGAAAAAGAAGAAGATGATGATTTTAACTGTGACAAAGATACTCATGAAAAAAAGAAGATGATGATTTTAACTGCATTGATCTATCTCAAAAGATAGATTGTAACGAAATTATTTTATCTGAAAAAGANTGAAAAAGAAGTTGATGATGATTTTAACTGCATTGATCTATCTCAAAAGATAGATTGTAACGAAATTATTTTATCTGAAAAAGAAGATTTTGGAGATTGTGGGGAAAATTAACTTTTTTCTCAAAAAATAATGTAATGTACTCAATTATTTTTTACTTAATTTTGTAATATACTCAATTTAATAATATGTAATCCAAGTATTATGTACTCAATAATAAAGCAGCAAATAATTTTTTCAAAAAAAAATGTTTGTTTTTTATAGACAAAACATTCACCCCCATAGATTGGGAAGCTTTCTCGTCTGCACCAATAGATGAAACAACTATTCGACAATTTCAAAATTATGTTAATTGAGATATGATCAGTCGAAGACGCGATTTATGCGAAACGTTTATTTCAGAATTCGCGAAAAACTTAAATTGGGAACACATATGGAAAAATCTTTTTCACGGTCTTAATCCTGAGTCACGATTTTAATTCTTGTGGCAGACTTTGGACGACGACTGACTTCTTGGGTTTTTCCGTTTTGTTTTTGTAATTTCTCTTGGGTTTTTTCCATCAGGTCAGGTGGTTCTTATTAAGGGTTTGGCGTCCAATATGGGCACTTCATCGAATGTTCGTGGTGACACATCCCTGACTAACTGGATCCGACTCAACAAGGAACAAACTTTGTGAGAAATAATTTTTATGGCTTTTAGCCTAACTCGATAAAACGCTCGAATTTATAAAATATTTATTAAATATAGGCATTATTATTTTATTTTTTATTACGAAAAATTTACATTCATATGGTTTATTATTTGGCAACTTTAATAATGCTGTTTCCCTATACGTTTGTTTCAAACACGAATAAGTTCTACTACAAATGCTATGTATTACATAAGTAGTTTTCCTTTTGTATACTATTAAAAAACCATATTGTGATGATGATGATATCAGAATAGCTGTAAGAATTAAAAGTAGAAATTGTAATGACTGAACGATAGTACATCTATTCCATTATCTAAAATGAATTTTTTATCATAAATTTTTCAACCTTATTTATTATTCAAAATATGGAATATGCAAAATGAGATTTAATTTGCCAACATCAAAATTTAGATGAACACTTCCTAACAAGATTTTCGGATCATCTCGATTGGAATAAAATCGCCGAATACCAACATCTTTCGGATGATTTTATTATTCTCTTCATAAATAGATTTGATATATAAAAAATTTTAAAATACCAACAATTAAAAACCGCAACTTTACGACAAATACAAGATTACTTAAACTGGAAGTTTGTTTCTCATTATCAAAAACTTGACGAACAATTTATTGACAAATTCCAAAATAAACATTTTTGGTGTCACATTATAAAATATCAAAAATTAAATAAAGAATATATCGTTCGCAATCGTGAAAACTTATTATTGTATTTAATGGGAGAAATATGCATCACTTTAGGTAAATTGGGGGAAAAAGTGAAAATGCTTTTGTAAAAATAATTTCAATGTTATATTACTACTCAAGTGGAAATACTTGTAATGTAACGTAAAAATAAAATAAAAATTAAAATAGTTTCAATGTTATATTATTTTAAATTACCACTCACTTCTTTTTTTTTAAATTAAAATAAATTCTAACAAATATTAAAATTTAATTTATATAAAAAATATTAATATGTCGAATTATCACGAAGAGTAACTTATTTGAAAAAAATACAATTTAATTTTGTGATTAAAATAAACATATATTAAAATTTATATGAAACAATTTTAAAAAATAAATTAATTTTGTGATGAGTACGTGTCAAACGAATTTTGTGATTAGTACGTGTCATATGTATACTACTTATATATATATGTAAATCCAAGATGTCTATGACCGTATATCGTGTACTCCTGCCCGTTAAAATAAATTTGTTATTGTTTATTAATCTGGAATCCGAGTGAATCACTTCCTCGTTTCTCTCTCCTCATTCCTACTCCGAATCCAACCGCTTACCCGCTACCACTCGCGTGACGTAAAGTCGTGATTTCCGAGTCCTGAGACACTCGGTGGTGTCACATCATTCCGTGGTGACACGATGTCAAAGAGACCCAGACCTTATGGTCACAATTACAAACATGCAGAAGGCAAAAATATGACAAATAGACACATATCTTTTATTTTGAATTGCAGGTAACATTCAAGTTTTTGTGTGTATGTACATACACACTCTTACTTTGTTTGTTACAGGACCCAATTCCTATCTTGATATGTTGCAGATATTTGTTGTGCCACAAATTCAGGACATTCCGGATTTAATTTACGAACAAGATCGTGTGCCACCTCATTGGGGTTAGATGTTCCTGCCTATTTAAATACAGCATATCCGGGAAGATAGATCAGATATGGTGGTCCCTTCAACTGGCCTTTGCGGTCACTGGACATAACACCACTGGATTTCTTCCTTTGGAATTATGTCAAGGACCAGGTTTACCAAACACCAGTGAACAACATCGCAGCATTACGGCGCAGAATTATTGACATCATAACATCCATCCCTCAAGATATGTTAACTAACAGATGAGTGAAATTGGAATATCGCCTGGATATCCTTCGAGCAACGAAAAGAGCATATGTAAAAGTTTATTAATGAGTTTGTATGTACACACAGAAATTAGAATATGTTACCTGCAATTCATGATAAAAGATATGTGTCTATGTATCATATTTTCTGCGTTCTGCATGTTTGTAATCAGGGAAAAACATCTGGGAAAATCTGTATATTTTGATTTATTGACTTTGCATATTTCATATTTTCTGCGGAAATGGTATTCCCATCTTATATTAATGAAGATGGATAAAGTTAGATATTGATAAAGTTTATGTACGTTTGAAATTTATATTGTTATCTATATTTATCATACAAATTTCTGCTCAACTTTGGACCCATCACTGAACCCATGCATACTCTATTCTTCTGTCTGTAGAACTTGTGTAAAACTGAAAAATAGTTTTGTTTTTTTCACGGCAAATTCTTAATCTCTAATATATGCTAGAATTTGATACATACTACACATATCTTTAGTCATGCTTATCTAACTCACCATATAACATAAAACGAACACACAAAGTTATAAATAGCGAGGTTGCGGTCGACATTTCCAACGCGAAAACGTCGGCCGCAACCTATCTAATAACTATTTAAAAGGAGAAACCAAATATCATACAGACTAAACAGCTTAGGTATGACTTCAATATACCCATCGACAAAACTAAGTTTTATTAAAGTGAAGAAAGAACTAAAAAATCTGAGCGTAATCTGAAGCGACAGCAACAAACGACTCGGTCCCACAAATGGAGTTTAGGCTTGAAGCGCATTTTTATACTGCAAGTGCAGTTCGAACACTGAGGCAAGTTTTTGTAAAATTTTGCTTTTAAACTCTGAATTGTTCGAGCGCTAAATTTGATTAAATATTATGAATTTTTTCTTCTCTAATTGCTTTAGTTTCCAGCAATTTTTGATATTAATGTGATTAAACATAAAAAATACTTAAAACTAAAAAAACGAAAGAAATGCGTTAATTTTGAAGGAAAAGCTTCAAAGTTTCACTTCCTTTGTCTCGCCTTTCTGTGAAATTTGACACTGATGAGTCATTGTTTACACAGCTGGATGACCTTAAGAACAGCTGGTGTGAGATTTCCCGGGACATTCTCATAGACGTCTCGGGAGAACAAGGGTTTAAAGTAGGGTGAATACTAGTTGGCTGTATATTTTTTAATATTTTTAAAATATTCAAATTTTTATTGCGGATATTTTTATTGCAAATTTATATTCTGACCTGGGGGTCGAAAATCGCAATAAAAATTTAAATTTTCGGAAGGGCTTAATTAAACGAATATATAATAAAATCTATTAATTAAAAAATAAAAAAACTATCGGAGGTCGTTTTTGATATTAAAAAGTAGCTTTAAATAACTTTACCAAAGTAAAATCAGTGCACTACAACTTTAGAACAATGAATTAAATTTGATATCAAAATCCCATTAATAAACAATTAAGCGTTAATCGTGCGTCATTAAACGTAAATTAAAATCGCGGTAAAATTTTTTGCGCCGGTGAAAATTTTTTAAAAAATTTGGAGACAAAAAACATTCAAAAAATCCAAAACAAAATTGGGGGCCGAACAGACCGAGTTTTATGTAACGCTATACAACTCTCCCGAGTTAACTCGGGCGCGGGTTTTATAGCGTTACATAACTAAAATAAAACTACTTTTCAAACAACTTTTTTAATGTGACTTTCACTTTGAATTCCGATTTTGGTCTTTGTTCTACATGTGGCAGCTAAAACCTTTCAGTTTTACTCGGGTCATTATGTTATGACATAACCTGTGATTTCTATGCAGATTTTAGGAGTGATCAGTCTCATTTGAAAACTCGAAGTCAGAAAACAGAAGTGCATTTGAAAGACAATTTGTAAGTAATTCACTTTGACACTATATTAATATTAACGACAACAAAGAGTTTATTTAATATCAAATAATCTTAAAACAGATAAAGACAAAGAAACAATCAGCAGATAGACCTATTTTTACACGAAAAAAAAGGGAGCTTACAATTAATCGGCTTATGAAAAGCCAAACACCTCAAAAAAATATTTGACTTTTCACAAGCGAATTAATTGTAAACATCTCTTATGGTTCTATATAAAGTGTCCGGTTAGTCTTACTTAATTACTCATCTAAAAATAAAATCTAGCTTTTCTTTCTGCACAAATAAAAAAAGGAAGATTACGATCTGATAAGCATGATCGGTCTACAAGGATTTTCGAATTTCTTGAGAGAAAAACGTCTTCTTCCTCTAGGAACCACTTATTTATCATATTTTGCTGATCTTATCATTAAAAAATTCGAATGTTGATCAATACTGTAAGAATATTCGAGGGGTTTGGTCATTATACAATTCGACAATTTTAGCACTTCCATGGATGAGTCT